AGTTATTTTTTTCAAAGAAGAAACATGATAAAGTCCTACGAAATTCTAGCAATTTTAAGGAATAACTAGAAAAAAAATTGCATAGCCGCAACTCGTGAAATTATTAAATATGAAGTAGAAGGTGTCCTCGACCAGTGCACTGCACGGGGTTGGTTTGAAAAAATAGCAGTGGAGATACGACGTTGGATAGGAAGAAAGACTCCGGACGACCATTAATGGATATTGATGAGATTCTGCAAGAAGCTGTTGATTCAAATCCGTCCGCAAGTACTCGCAAACTTTGTGGGGAAAGTGAAAAAGCGCAGTCTCTCACGAATTTACTCCGCAGCTATCAGCTAAGAGGTTAGAAATTTATGAACATTTATTGAAAAACCCTTCTAATATGAGATTTTACCGTAAGATGGTCACCTGTGATGAAAAGTTGGCTTACTGACGGAATCCGAATACCCGTGAGCAATGGCTACATCGCGGTCAAACTGCTTTTCCGATTGCTGCAAGGGCGTAATTTGAAAAAGAAATTCATGCTTTGCGTAATTTTGAATTTTGGAGGTGTTATTCATAACGAGTTTGTTCCTCATGGATGCTCTATTCTGAACTCGCGAAGAACTGGAAAGCTTGTACGGGATGCTGTCAGAGTGTTATCCTGCTTTGATCAACCGAAAATAAATTTTATTCCAACAAGATAATGCTCGTCCTCACATTCCCCGTCGAACGAAAGAAAACTTGCGAGATCTTCATGGATTCGAACCCCTGCTTCATCCACCATATACTCTAGACCCCGGAAGATCGGATTACTACTTATTTAGATCAATGGCCCATTTTCTTCAAGGAAAAAAATTTGATAATTTTGAAAAAGTTGAAACTGCGTTCTATAATTTTTTCTTTGACAGCCATCCCAAAGAAAGGTATCAGCGAGGATTGGAGCAATTGGCTAGCAGATGGCTAGTGACGGCAGATAACAATATCAAATGAATAATATTTGATTGAAAAACGATCATTTTTTAAAATTGTATTTATTTATTTTTTGTATGCACTCTGTTATTATTTTCATATGCTTTCCTTGCGCTAGTGGTATATAACCAAACAATGACCTCGTTTTGTGGAATACAGTTGCTAATGGAAGAAGGTGAGAGCGGTTTTGACCATGGCTGCTCAAGTGTAATTATTTTGCTTTTGTTGCATTAACATCATGTACGGCATTCTTCTGTATAACAACAATCAGACTGAGAGGGCACTTGTCTTATTACAAAAGATAACATCAAACTTGACTTCTTCTTATTATTATGATTTATAAAGGAATTGTTCCTAACTATTTGTAAGTTATCTGAGAATAATTTATGTTACAGGTACATTATATGTGTAGATGAAGAAGTGATGATAGCGTATGATCTTCGAGCGTCCAGAAAACTGTGAGTGAAAAAGTAAAATATTGTTTGGCAGCGATTGATTAATTTTAATTTTTTTTTCAATATAATTTAAAGTTTCTTAAGTTTTGACTACATTACGTCCAAATACTAACAGAAGAAATGCTTCAGAAATTAAATGTTCAGGTATAGGAAGAGATTGTATTTTTGGGAATATTATATATTAATTTCATCCAATGTAGCTATTTTATTAGTTATGTCCTTTTTTTTACTTTCACTTACCTATTTATGTAATATATAATAGCAAGAGAAAGTATTGCGATCGGGAAAATTTCGAATCTGAGTTTTCAAACGAAAAATACAGTAAACTTAAATACATTTACTGTAGTTTAATGATTCTAGATCTGCTATTCTATTTAAATAATTAGGTATCAACGTCCTGAAGAAAATGAAGAAAATTAATTTAGTGAATAATTTGATGAATTTTCTCTTTGTGAAATTCGAACATTATCTACTTAAAATTAGTGGTACAACTTTTAACTTATCTATGGCAGGCAATGAAAATCTTTTAATTTCATTTTAGTAAACTTTACAATGGAAAAAAACAGTTAAATAACTAATAGGCATGAAATCCATAATCATTTATATATTGAATATGCAGGGATATTTTCAAATCTCTCTATGCTTAAATGTATGTATAAAGCTCAGATATTGGAGTTATGTGATTTGCAAAAACATAAGGAGTACCGATTTTTTTTAACTGCCGTTGATATAGAGTACGGGATGGCCGGGCACGTTAGGGCGTGGGTGCCAGTGCCCGGTTCTGAACGTTGTGGGTTCAATTCCCACCTGGGTCGGTTACTATTCATTTCTCGGAGGCCCCGGGAAATATATCGTGACATTCCCACTCTGGTAAATCGGCGGCAACCTCAAGGTGAGGGATTGGCAAAAAGTACCACGATAGGTCCTCTTGCCGAACTAGTTCCCCCACCAGTACCAGTACCAGCACCGTTGATATAATTAATAGGACTTTTGTTATTTTATTGGTCTTAATAATTTGTTAGCTGTGTCTTTCTAGCTGTAGATCCGTTAAAAATGCACTTCAAAAATGTTATAATAGCCAGAAAATAATGTCTATACAATGTAGCACGGCAAGTGAAAGTTATATGTTGAAAGCAATAACGTTCTGTTCAGTTCGGCGCAGTTCTGCCCGCCCGGTGTGGTCGTGGTTTTGGATTTGAAGTAATCAAATTAAGGTAGAATAACAACTGTGATTGTTAATTAAAAATGGCAGATAGTAGAAGGGACCATCTTATCTGATAGTGAATTCACTCAACTGTTTATCATCCGGGAATTCCCAAGGAGACCGGAACCCCATTAAAAGAAGCATTGAATTTACTTAAGGTCTAGGGTTGTTAATAAAACCATATTTCATTCATAGACCTTCAAGAGCAATATGCCAAAAAAAAAAAAAAAAAAAGCTGAACGAACATACTGAAGAGTGACTTTAAAATAAAATAAAACACACATTAAAAAAATTGAGAACTAAGTAACTGATCATTTACATTTAGTATCTGGAATACATACAGATAAATTCTAAAGAAATATTTTTATAGAAGTGTTTGATTATGCTCAAATGTTTGATCTCGGAGCTCATCCATAATTTATTTCAAAATATTTATGCAAAATTATAACAGAAGGTTTATCAAACCACTTCCCCAACCTACTACTCGTTTTCGATAATTCTCTAAATAAAAAAAAATCTGGTTTGTCCAAGACTCCACTCAAAATCCACTCACAAGACTTTTCTAACGAACTCAGAAAAGTTTCTATATCATAAATTGTGTCCATTAACAAACTAAGAAAAAAAAATTGAAGTACATTTATTTCCATGGAAATTGATCAATGAAAAGATTTTAGTATGACTTAGAAAACTAAAGCAATGTAAACTGGCTTGAGGAAGATCAGCGTGAAAAAATGAATACACTTATATTGCTAATCAAAAATGTGTTTACCATAGCTCAATTTTGTAAGACAATTTCTGTTAAAAGTAGAAGAAGAAGTGAAGCTTGTGTGATGCAGGCACCAAGATTTTTAATTTCACTTTTCTCTCTCTTTCATACCTCTCTGGCACTAGGATTTGAACTCATAATCATACGTACGGAACGGAATAGTTGTAACTTCGTTAATAGTTGTCCAAAATGAACGATTTTTATATAATTTTGTAGGGAATTTCATTATCTTCAAAAAGATCTACTAGTTCTCGTATGTCAATAGTTCCCGAGATAATCTTGGCAAAGACAGATAGACCAATGCCTGAAAATGTGTTTTTCGGACTCAGAGGGCCCTTAAACGTGTAAATCCATCAAAAACCGCACAACGGAAATTTGACCCGTTCGCAATTTTTTCTTTGCCTGGTATAAAGAGGATTGTAAAAACATTTTCGTTTATTTCTCGAGTTATGTTGTATATATGATATGACTTAATTTGTATATCTCGTTTATGTTACTAGTCTGAGAATAATGACATATGATTTTTAATGATAAATAGGGTAAGAAAAGAAAACCTATATATACATTTTTTTTTCCTTAAACCTTGATCCGCACTTGTCATGAAATTGATAATCAGCAGACGTGTGTGTGTGTTTAATAGGTAAGAATGTCATTTTAAGCAGCAGGAAGTATAGTACCCAGAAGGATCTCTTGTTGGTCTTTATTTGCTTCTTTAAATTAGGAAAGAAGATCTCTCAGCCTGCGCCTTTTCAGTCGCCTCCAGTTGAACACGTCTGTCGTTGCCATGTCTTCTATAAGTCTGTTGTTGTGCTCGTGTAGTTTAATATGAAACCGGCAGTAAAAAGTATGTATGCTTTGGTTGTAAGTCAGTAGGTAAAGTTATTGTTTACGTACAAGGAATCTGATGTTATAAGTTTGAAAAGTTTGCTTTGGTACGGTAGTTTTTTTTAATGTGTGTGTTTCAGTTTTTTTGCTGAACTGTAAATCTGCAGGCGTATGGGTTAAAGTAGGTATGTGTATGTATTTAGTATTTACCAATTTTCAATTTCGAATTGAATAGAGGGAGTATAATATTAACAGACTTTCAGACGCTGGAGGTCTTATAACTTACTTAGTTTTAATGAAGAGAAGAATAGTTGGGGTGATTAGACAAATAAGAAGGCAAAAATAAATGATACTATTTATTTTGACATTAGCCGACTGAGAAAAGAAGAGAAGCACTTCTTTTATTTTCTTAGCCCTGATGATGGCCTGAACTTCAGGTCGAAACGTCGACTAATGTCAAAATAAATATTATCATTTATTTTTGCCTTCTTATTTGACTGATCAACCCAACTATTCTTCTCTCCATTATTCACGACAGTCAACCATTTACCAATTATTGCTTAGTTTTAAGTTTGAATAAGAATAAAGAATTTTTTTATTAATAGAGGAAGAAGCCTATGCATGTTGGTATTTAACCTATTAAGACTGTGTCTTAATGTAAGTTTATTTAGTTGACAAAGTTAGTTATAAACTAAAAAAAAACAAGGCGTATTGGTAAAATTTTATAATGATTGTGGTAGCTGAGAAATGAATGCATTGCAGAAGTATGTATTTTTCAATTAAAAAAACAAAACAAAAAGAAAGAACTGAAATCTTTGTTATTCTGAAATAAATGTATAAATACCCAAAAGTATTCATTATGGTTAAATCATAAGTTGCTTCAAATTCAATAAAAGAAAATTAGCTTAATTTGATTCCTCGCTTTTCAGCTTCTGTGGCAAATTTTTTCCTGTAGGCACCATCGGGGTCGTAGATTTTTTCTAGAACAGAGAAATCGTCTGGTTTCTTTTCAAGCATGAATTTTATCACCTTTTCTGCGCCCTGCTTTTGCCTCTCGTTACACTTCCCGCAGTCTGATGCAAGCACCTCAGGAAGCAATTCTGTAATTAATACAATGATCAACCGATGATAATCTTTAAATAATTGTTTCATTTAGAATTATCCTTGGAAAATAATTATGATGGTGTGTGATATATTATTCGGAGCGAATAATTAACGGATTTGGTTTCTCTGCTTTGTTTTCATACCAAGAAAAAGTTATTATATATGACAGATAAAAAACTCTTTTTTTTATGGAATAGTTTTTGATGGCTTTCATATCAAATACTGATAAAGGTAACGATTTCAACACACTCGCACTCAAGTAAATTTTATTAACGTTACTCTTGTAACCCGAAGGTAGCCAACATAGTTTTTTTGACGTAACTTTGAATTATATAATAAAAAATGTTTTCATGTCTCTCTTTTATACAAAAAGATTTTTAGTGACTGTCATATTTTATTTGTCAACCTCAAAAAATTAAAATGGTGGGATAAATACTTGAAATTTATTTTTGTCATACCCACACTATACTGAAAAGCATAATACAATCTCAACTATAGAATACACGTAAATTATCGTTGTACGATTTGAGCAACGAGTAGTACAATTAAATGAACAGAAGCGTAATTTGTAAAATGGGGTTGGTCCGCCGTTAGATGAACAGGGGATACCCTTCTCCCTAGTATATACAAATATTTAAAAAAAGACAATTTTGTACGTTATTTAATATCTGCCTCTAATTTCTAAAATACTTTATTGGTTGCAGCATAATGTTTTCTGGAAAAATAATGTGTAAAACTTGAGAAATTACTTTATGAAATTGTTTAAGGCTGAATGAGGCATGTAGGCCCATAGGAGATAAATCTTTTTTCATTTCATGCAATAGCTAATGAGATCAGCAGTACCTAAACTACATCAAATATAGGTTGTTCTAATTACCAAATATTTAAAAAAATATTTTTTTGCAGGAAAACTCTATAAGAATTACATTTTGATTTTTAATATTAATACAGAACAATTGAATGAAATAGATATAGCAAAAAAATTAAAAAAGTTTATGTGATATTTTAAGATTTATGTTTTATAAAAAGTGTTTTGTTTAATTTTTTTTTTTTTTCATAAATTGGATCCTACACCGCAAATACTTATGGTTGCTACTTGTTTATAAAAAAACATCAAAGCCAAAAACTGAATACACTGTAGGTATTCACATTTATTTAGTTTTTACTTTAACAATTCAGAGTTACGAAAAAATTCTAAATATAACTTTTGAAAGAATTTGATAAGTTAATAAAGGAGAAAACCAATCCAAAATAAAATCAAATTAAATTTAGATAAATTCAGTACTTTTTAATGAAATTAACCTTGATAATATAAAAAAACGTTAGAAATAACAGAATATTGAGTTATACTCTCTTGAATCAGCAACTATAAAAATCTATTTTGGAAATGTCTCCTGAAAAAACTTTTTAGAAAGGACAAAGAACTTAATTAATTATTTACCTTTTAGTTCCTTTCCATCTGGAGTGCACTTGCCAATATTGGCCAAGCAGTCGAAGTACTTTCTGTACAGCCTCTGACTGCTGAGTACTTCGTCGATGTTTATGTTGTCATATCGAGCAGGAACGCCCATAGCGAGCGTGAGCAAACAAGAGATGCATAGGAACTCGAGGAACGTCTTCATGGTGGATAATGGTTAGTAGATATTCTATAAGAAAACTTAACAAAAGTTCAGACACTTGAACCTGAAAATATTTATTCTATTATTTAGGAAGGCGTTGAAACGAATTTGGATTTATGCCTTAGTATTTGATATGACTTAAATAAAATTTTTATTCTGAGGCTTATATTAAATATATGTTTAATGTCTGGAGTACAAACACGTTTGTTTTATTCCCGCAAGGATGTTTTCACGAATTTCTACTGTCTACATACCTAAGTATTATTTTTGGCAAATAGTTGTAGGCATAGCTGATCGGACTACAAATAAATTAAGGCAAAACAAAGTATATGATAATAAGCCGAAAATTTCAAATCAATAACAGGATCTGAGTAGAAGGAAAATGATTCTCGTGAGTAGAAAAATTCAAATACCTCGGCTCCACAATAACCTCAATGAATGACCAACGGGGAGAAATAGCGCAAAAAGAGATTTCTTCTTGAATCTTCGTTCATGCTTTCTATTAATGTATTTTTAATTAAACCATCTAGAATTTCTGTCTTTTTATGTCGCTTTGGCATTTTAAAACTAAATCAAAACGTTATTAAATCAATTAAACAGGACAAATCACAAACTTTGTTTATAATACAATCATAACCTTACTAAAAATAATAATATATCGGCAGGTTAGGACTCTTGGGTGATGTATACTTTCTTTAAAACTTGTGCTGATTGCTTAGTATGTTAATACATTAAGCATTTACCACGAGCTGTAGGAATACCACTAATTCTTCCTTGCCCGAAATTTCATTTACAGTGTGATCATGATATCTTGGCTCGCCCATCAAAGTCGAGAAATATTTGCGAAGTGGTAGCTAAAATAAGTCAAAGATAAAGTACCTCATTTTCTTCAATCTCACGGAACTATACTGACAGAAATGTATATTTTTTTAAGGCAGAGATAAAGGCAGTATTGATGACGTTTTAAGTTTAATAAATAATTATTACAAAATGAAATGGTTTACTGAAATAAACAAGAACTTGGATTGTTGAATAAAATTAACATTTAAAAATGACTGAGAACGTTGATTTTACTATTTTAATTTTATTTCATTTTTTGTTAAAAAATATTGTATATATCACAAGTAAGACCTAATTATATTCAGCATTTTAGCAAAAAAAGTTACACTCAATAGAACTCAGTGAACGGTTATCTAATGAAGTCATTTGTTTGTTTAATATTTTCTATTTTAAATGGTTGTATTTAATGTAATGGCACAAAACAGCAAATACAAATTAAAACTGAAATCAATTATACTATGTAATTAAACTAACCTTACAAGATGTCAACGCGGTTTTCTTCACGATATTTCTTTATCCAGCTTGTGAAAATAAATACCATATGTTTATTTTTAACCAACTGGTTTCTATATGGGTTAATTTAATTGGTGATGACAACTGGCTTAAAACAAACTGCTAATAATGAGCTTAAAAAATGTTGACTCTGTAATTTCCATCGGTATTTTTTTTATCCTCTTAATGAACTTTTATACTTCGTAGGCTCTTTAAATTCTGTCGTATTTATAAAAACTTTTAATCTCAATTTACTATCACAGCCATTACTGTCATAAAAATGATAACGCATAAACATTTTTCTATGAGAAAATTGTTGCATTGTGAATTAAAAATGTTTATTATGTAGCTAATATTTATTTTATTTTTTTGAAAATGAAAACTTCTTTCGGCGTCTTTTGCACTTTTTTTGAAGAGTGAGTTAGATTGTGCCGTCAGATTTCAAATGTGTGACGCTCGGGTAAAGTCGGCTGGAGTCGTCTGATTGAAGTGTTTTTACAAATGGATTAAAATATATGAACATTCATTTATAATTTATATTTCATATTATTAATCTCGCCTTGTTAATTTTTTCACTTCTACCGTGTGGTCTAAGCACACTTCTTAGTTTTTTTTTCTAATCAATTTTTCTTGTTATTATTTAAATTTTTAGGGGCGTAATTAGGTATTTTGGCTGGGATTCACATCTCTTCACTATTCTCTTTTCTGCTGATCAGCAGTTTGTATTATTACCTTCCTCAGCTACATTACTTCACCTTTCTTCCAGCTTGGGATTAGTGTGATGCGATCTTGTGTCTGATTTCCTTTCTGTTCTGATGATTCCTGAATTGTCGAAACGTTGATCGATTATTTTATTCTTTACCTACAATTGAGAGGAACGAGACATTTCTGTCTTATGGAGAGTTGATATCCATTTACATCAGAAGCAAATTTTTTTTTTTTTAATTTTATTTTATTGAGATTTACAACTATATTACATGGAAAATACAATAAGTAAATGTGCCATTGGTAACATGACATGCACAACATGAAGAGAAACTACCCATTGGTAGAACTCAAAAGAAGTAAATTAAGTTTGAAAAGTTTATTCAGAATTGTTGATCAACTTAGATCGAAGTATCTGTTAGTTTCTAAGTTTAATTGTTTCAGAAAAGAAACCCAAGCCTCTGATTCTAGATTAAAGCGTTTTTTTCTTTATTGATCAGCTTTTACCTCTGGAAAATTATTAGTCGGTGATACAAATAAGATAAGACCCCTTTTTATCAAATTATTAACATCCGCCAGAAACTACGTGATTAGCTTCATCTCATCGCAACTAGTGTTGTCCAAAATAGGTCTTCTTGGTCTTGCACTTTGACCAAGACCAAGGCCGCCTAACTGTTGCAAGACCAAGACCAGGATTGGTATAATAAATCGATTTTTTAAATAAAAATTAAGGCAAAATAGTTAATAATACTTGACAATTTTAGTTACTATATGTTAATAATTAATTGGTATATTATTATTGGTATATTTAATTCCTCTAATTTTTCATTCGGGCTTAGTTAGATTTCACCAATCTAAAAAATTACAGTAATATCTCAATAGTAATAAACTAATAAGTAACTGCAAGACTATTGCGAAACTCTTGCGCAAGACCAAGACCATTACCAAGGCTGAGTTTGCAAGACCAAAACTCGTCTCGGTCTCGCATTTGGACAACACTAATCGTAACCTACAATTATTTATTTTTCGAAAACTCTTGGAATTGGGGCGTTTTCAATCTGCAGATCGGCAACATTTATATTTTACATTAGGTACTAAGAACTCGTAATTACCCATTTGCTTTCCACTTGGATCGTAAGATAATTTGATTACAAAGTCGATAAAAAAGGTGGTCTATAAAAATATTGGGCCAATTGTCATATAGGATGTCGTTATTGTGACAATTTGGAGTTGTAGGTCACGCCAAAGGGGCCAATATTTTTGAAGGCCACCTTTTTTCTCAATTTTGTGCTCAAATTATCTTCACATTCTAGTGAAAATCAAACGGTTACTTAAGAGTTTTTAGTAACTAATTAAATATGTCTCCAGAATGAAAACGCCCCAATTCCGAAAATGTTCGTAAATAAAATAATTGTAGGGTACGATGAGTACGACTGTATGCAATTTATTTATTTTCAATATAAGACCTAAGATGTATAAATCTACAAAATCAATGATATTTTGATGGATTCTGTTTTAAAGAATATATCTCTTGGTAGGAAATCTTCTGTGTTCGTGATTAATTAGTAATTATAAAATGGCAAGTATTGCCCAATTTGATAAATTGAATCTCCAAATTAAAAATTGTTATGCTTATCTTCTTTCAGACAACTTTCACTTCATTGGGTAATAATTAAACAGCATTGTCTCTCTAGACCCCCTGGGGGTAACTTTTGGATAGTGGGGCACTACCTGATGTATATATTTCTTCAGCCCAGCAGCAAGTATCTCAGAGTTCATCCAGGTTTGAAGAGTTCTCGACAGTATGCATTCCTTCTTCATTATCTTGTTCCTGGTTGGAGTCTGCGCCGCGGCGACGACTTATACCACCAAGTACGACAACATCGACTTGGACGAGATCCTCAAAAACGACAGGCTCTACAAGAAGTACTTCGATTGTTTAGCCAACAAGGGCAAGTGTACTCCTGATGGAAAAGAACTCAAAGGTAATTATTCTTCTTATTTTATTACTTTATAAAATATGAGGATCCTAAGCGATAGAATTGTATATAAGACCATCAAAATCATTTAATGGTCAGTCATTTCTTATTTATATTGCTGCATTTATTAACTTTTATAAACATTACAGTGCTTATGTGTAAAAATTAAACAGAGTTATGAAATAAATTGCGTAATGGGGCAGCTCAGTGAATAAAGCATTGTGCTCCTATTCTTCCAGGTTTAAGCTGGAGTCCGGATGTGACACATAATTATTATACATTTATATCAGCTGTAGATCGATTTTAGGCTCGTGACTCTTCTAATGCTTAAGATAAGTTTACCCTAACTGGGAGAAAAACCCCCAGAGATGGGCAAATGCTACTTTGAATACCGAGTACCAAGTATTTTACTCAAATTGAAATTAATATTGGGAATTCAATGATTACATTAGTTAATCGTTTGACATCAACTGAAGTAGTAATTAAATTCTTTGGTACTCAAAAAAGGTCAGTATTTGAGTAAAATACTTGGTACTCAGTACTCAAGAGGAGGATTTACCCATCTTTGGAGAGTGATAATTGCTAAATCACCTCATTAGACCATCGTTGGTAGTGTTGCCCAAAATTGGTCTTGGTCTTGCAAGACCAAGCCCACCTAACTGTTGCAAGACCAAGACCAGGCATGGTGAAAAAAAATCGATTTTTTTAATTAAAGTTAAGGCAAAATAGTTACTAATACTTTTTTCATTCGGCCTTAGTTTGGTTTCATTACCGTAATATCTCTATAGTATTAAGCTGATAAGTAACAGCAAGACTCTTGCGCAAGACGTAGACCATGAATAAGACTGATTTTGCAAGACCAAGACTCGTCTCGGTCTCGCATTTGGGCAACACTAATCGTTGGTTTAGATAAAGTACTTCATGAAAAAGAATTGAACCTAAGACTGTTCATGAGTGGTAGTGGTATGGGTTTTATTTGATTTTTTTTTTTCGACATTAAGATGGCTTCTTATTTTCGTGCCAAGGATTTGACTTGAATAAAACTTAAAGAATCGTTAATGATTTGATCGTGTTTATAATATAAACAAATTATTAACTATTGAATGTAATATATTTTGTCAAACATTTTTTTTGGACAAAAAATAAAAAAATGTTATTTGGCGTTGGGAGACACTGCCATTTTGAAGCTGGCGAAAATTATTTTTAATAAAATAATAACGATAGAGTTTCTTTTTTATTTATTTGCCTTATACTCTAATGGAAAAAATGATATATTTTAAGTTCAAATAAAAAAAAAAAAGACAGATTTACCAATTTATTTCATATTCGCCTTAACGGGCGATAACACATTTAATACTAAATGGTTATTTACGAGTTTTTATTACCTAATTATATCGAAAAAGTTTTCCGACCTCCAGATTAAAAAATATTCGAGCATTTTCGTAAATAAAATATTTGTAGGTTACAATGAGATAAAGCTATTTACGAAGTTTCAGGCGGATGTTGATAGTTTTATAAAAAGGGGTCTGTACCATGGACTAATATTGTTTAATAATTTTATATTTTGAGATATAAATTTCATCAGATAAATATATTCTCTAATATATAACCATTCCTTTTCTTTCGCTTTTTGGTTTATTAAATATAGATAGCTCGTTTAGTAAACATACTGGCATTTCAATACATATAGGTGCATACTTTAAGTAAATCAGTCTCAAAATATGTTCAGATTTAAATTGTACAGATGTTTGAATGAATTTGAAATGGTTACGATCGCTGGGATAATCAATTAATTATCTCGTTTTAATTCAACAGTATATCTTAATAATAAACTTTTATTAATATATTATATCTTATTAGTGTAACATTCTTTTATAAAAAAATTATAAGGAATTTATAAAATATAAAATTAATAATTTACTTTTATAAAAAATAACTATTTATATTCTTTACACATTTCCTTGGCAGTTATAAATAATACGTGTGTGAAAAAAATATACTAAAGTATATATAAAATATTGTATAAGAATGATGATGATTAAATATACAGCATACTTAACTTTACAAATGTTTTAAATTCGGTTATTGAAATAAAATAGTAAATTGTAATTTGATTAATATTTCATTTAGGTGTTCTATGTTCTTACAAATAACCTAAATTAATAACTTCATCTGATTTCAAACTAATCAACATAAAACACTAATTACGATTATAAATGGATTGTAAACGCTTACTGTTTTATAGAATGTTTATCTGTGAATTCATTTGACTAGTTATAATTTTCATTTTCCTCAAAATTGTGACACCACGTATTTCAAATACTTTTAAAAAATTTCTCTTTATGTTTTGAAGTTGATTCTTATGAACCACTAATTAATTGCAATTATTTATTAGATATCATTCCTGACGCTCTCGCTACCGAATGCAAGAAGTGCAGTGAGAAACACAAGCAAGGAGCGGAGAAAATCCTAAGATTCATGATCGAAAAGAAAGCCGACGACTACGCAGTCCTGGAGAAGATATACGACCCCCAAGGCCAGTACAAGAAGAAATTCATGGAACAAGCTGAGAAAAAGGGAATCAAAATGGTGGTTTAAAAAATAACTGTTCGATTCTAGTCGTCTAAATTTCTCCTATACTACTCTTGATCAATGTTATTCAAAGTCATATGGCTGTAGATTATTAACTATAAAGGAATTTACTATATTTATTGCTGTTTTTCAATTACCTTAAATAATTACCTCTGATTATGTTAATATAATTGTGTCCATATTATATTTTCATGAAGTATTATGTATTACTTAATTAACAGAACATAGGGGACGTGTTCATGTTTCATATGCTATATTTTCAAAGAAAAATAATTAATAACTTAAATCGTAATATATATTATATAAAGTGGTAATATATATATATATATATATATATATATATATTACAACTTTTCTTCAATCGACCTTTGAGTATTATATTTAAACATAATTATTTAATTGGGAATAAGGTCACTTATTCAAATAAGTGATCTAATTCCCAATTAAATAATTATGTTTATGTTTATATATGTATATATATATATATATATATATATATATATATATATATATATATATATATATATATATATATATACATAGTTTTTTTTTTAATCAATTGAATAATATATCATTCTGTCTTCTGAGCAATGGTTTTCGTGTAGTCTTAGTTAAAGCTATATATACAGAAAATATATAATAAACAGAAGAAAACTTAAAACTAAATAATAATTAAAAAGTGAAGTAATTCGTAATGCAATAAAATGTTTACTAAACCAATTAAATTTTTAATCAAAAATTAATTTTCTTTCAGTGATCTAAATAAATTTTTAGCCTACAAGAACATAAACTAAAATTTAATTAATAAAGAACCTAAAATGAGCAAGCGAAACATTTAATAAAAGTAATAATATTATTTTATTAATATTTTATCGATTAATATTAATATTTTTTTATTAAGCAAATCTTATTATTCTTGAGAACTAATAGGTAGTTGTTAAGCCCCCTTTTTTTATAAATAAAATCCACTTAATTATCGGTAAATATTATTTCCAATAATCTAATACTTGGTGATAAATGATACTACTAAATTGTTCTTATCTTTTTGAAATTAAATACTTCAGATACTCTTTAATTTGAATCTCGATTGGGCGTATGCAAGTGCATGATTATCGATCAAATTTTTCAATTAAGATTTTTAATTTATAACTAATTATACTGTGTTGGTATTGATATTTATTTTCAATATTAATACTATAATATGAAGATGTTTCATGACAACAATTTTTTTATTTTTTATTTTATATGCATATATATGTATATAAGGGTTCTACATATTATATAACTGTTTATTTAATTATACTACTCGTTCCTCAAATAGTCATTTATATGTATTTTGTAATTCAGAATGTATTATTTTTTTATCAACATAAATCAAAGTTCGGACAAATTTTTAATATCTTTAAAAATCTATACTACTCATCACGCCTCACTACCAATTTATTTTATTATATAATTATAAATATTTTGTTTTGGCAATTTGTAACCATAATAAAGGAGATATAATTCTATTAACAAGAAGTGTGAGTGTGGTGTCTTCGTTACGGTTTGCCCCATTTTGTATATGTAAAACAAAATATTAAAATATTACACGGCGGTCACTAAAAGCTTTATATATATATATATATATATATATATATATATATATATATATAGAGAGAGAGAGAGAGAGAGAGAGAGAGAGTGAGAGAGAGAACAACATCGTGAGAAATGGGGTTTTCCTATTATTATAACTTTACGATAATTGGAAACCTCGAGCTAAACGCCACACCCAAGATTAAATGAAATAAACAACAAGGCACTGAGTAAGAAATGTCAAAGCGATTTAACAAGCTTGGAAACGTTTGTCCTCAAATATGAAAAAACCGCAATGACTTAACGACTTGGGTCAAGTATGATGCTGCGTTTTCACTAACCGCTTTTCGAAGTAAGGACTGACCATTTCAATGCCAATTCAATTATTTCAAAGTGGAAACCACTGATTTGCAAGTTGGGAAACTTCATTTCAAATGTAAGAGTATTAACTTTTGAAAATTATAGTAAGCAGGTTGGTTGGTATTTTTCCATTTCAATATATTTCTTTCTCTTAAAAAAAGGATAAACAATCAACAATATAATCATACGATAACAGTTTGTAAAAGATAGTACATGTATTTCCTATTTTCGACGTAGGAATTTCAATGCATCTAATTTTTTTTTTATTCATTTTTAACTAACTTTTTAGTTTTTTTATGAAATGAACTTGTTTTATCTCTTTTTCGTTCTCAATTTCTCAAATTGTATGTTTATGTTGTTCAACCATTACCTATAATTTTGTTCATAGTGTTGTGTTCACAGTTTTAAGTGTCTTGTACATAGTTTTATCTGTATTGTATATAGCTTGTTCATCTAACGTTTTCTTTACGTTTTAGTTTATTTTATCAATTTTATTTATTGTTCCAAACTTTTAGGCCAGTAGTATTCTATTATTTTTGCTCAATTTTGTTTTTCAAAGGAACTTTATCCTAGATAAGGTTAAAAAAAAAAAAAAAAAAAAAGTACTTCATATGGCAAATAAATTAGTTGAAATTAAACTGTTTTTAGCAGTGTCGTCGGCATCTATGCACCTCAACATACAGAATATATGTGTGTAAACTTACAGAATGTAAATTAATGTATTGTTAAAAGAGTTCTGAGTTTTGTACATATGCGGAAATCACCTATCAAATGGATGAAATTTCTATATACATAAGGACCTTAAATTTACTAACAACCCATCGAAGCGTATATCTTTTCTTTTTTTTTTTAGAATTTTTTAAATTACTTATGTTATTTTTTTATGAAGTGAAACTAGAAATGAAGTGAAACTGAGAGGTTAATGATGACACTTTATCAAATCTTAGAGTTTTTGAAGAAAAACGTAAAATTCTACGTAATTTAGCCAATGCCCTTAAGGGCAGAAAGAATAACCAAACAAATAAATATATTCAGAAAAAAAATTGTTGATTTGAAAACATTATTATGAAGGGTCAATCAAAAACTTTCAAAAATCATCGAGTTCTCTTACGAAATAAATTTTTAAAAAATGTAACTTTAAATTGGTTTTGATTAATCCAATTAGCATTTAAACAATGTACATTGATAGTACATAATTTACCCAAAATGGAATTAAAGTTGACTAAGATATTTTTTTTTGTTTAAAGTGGAATTAAGTGAAGTCTGAAGAATTAAAGAAAAGGATTATTGAACACTAATCAGATCGTAATTTCCTCATCTGGACTGAAAAACTAGTAATTAATTGCTGCATGATTGGGCATTAATTATTTTTTCAATCCAAATTAGTTTAGTAGTTGCATGTGTGACTCCCAACCACAAATCATAAATAATTGAATGTAATCATAATTAAATAAATTAAGGCAATTTAGATTGTCATTGTTGATGGCCGCTTGTGGTCTAGGGATATTTATTAACGCATAGGAGTAAGAAACACTGTAATATAATTCGTTTCATTGAAGGTGAATGATTGGTCCAGGTAACCAAGGGAGACAATACTGACCGATATTTGGCTATTGGCTCACCACGATTGAGATACGCTGATCGAGCTGAGGCTTTGACAATACAACAATGCCAATTATGTAAATAAGTCAAGACTTTCTCGACTAATGTAATGAGTTAGGCAGTCACTTCCTATAAGCTTTATTTCGCCTTTTCAATTCCATCTAGAATTATTATTATGTATTCACAATGATGTAGAGATGGTTGACCGTGATATAATATGAGAGGAAGTTGGTCGGGGGTGCGGTCAAAAAAATTTATTTTACCGACCAACTCCTTCTCATATTATTATGTTTATTTTTTGAGCTTGGTGTATATCTTATGATTTATTAATTTTTTACATTTAATCTTATTAAAATTATGGAAATAATTTACACTAATTAATTTACATCGTGGCATCACTGCGTCAACAAAGAAATGAAAGCCAACTAAATTATGGCTTGTAAAGCATATCAATAGATAAAAATTTCAATTGGCTTTAGGTATGGAAATAAGATTTTTATCCAATACTTGTGAAGTAAACTATAGCCTTAGTCAGTTATTTTCCTTCATAAAGTTTTTTATTTACAATATATTTTTTTTTTTAATTTTTACTTTCACTTACTACCTATACATACAATATATAGTGAGGGTAAGTATTGCGATCGTGAATATTTTTGAGTCTGAGTTTTCAACGAAAATACATGTTTTGAGGTCTCCTGATTCCAAATTACCAAGTCCCGCAAAATGGTCTGTGTGTGTGTGTGTGAGAAATAAGATATCGTAATGAATAATAGTTGTAATAGATGAATCATAGGAATACGAGTTTATTCGAGCACTCCCTAAAGATTACAACAGGCTTCGATACCTAACAAGAGCTTCATGTCGTACGGCTTCCGATAAAATTATGTCCATATACATATGTGGTTTTCATAAATGCTATCGTCGGTATTATAGAATACATCGATACGAAAATTAAAATTTGTATATATAAGGGTGTTTAAACAAACAAAAAAATCCACAATCAATTAAATAAATATAGCATAAATAATTTTTATTATCACTTCCCCTTTGTCTGAAAATACTTATTTCTGATAAGAAGAGGGTAGTAAGTGAAAGCTATGCGATGCGCGCACCAGATTTTTATTTATTGAGTAATATAACATACTGCCACATGGACATTGGTTATAGGGAGGTAAGACCTCAACAACATGATTAGAAACCTACATATAAGAAAGGGTTTTCTGAATTCTCAAAACTTTGAAATTTGAAATTTAAATGTTTTTTTTATTTTTTATCTATTTAGCCTCTATCCCAAAGAGTCATTGGCTTACTGTATCAATTTTATATTCTTTGATAAAAATCGATTTTTAAAAAACATTTTCACAGTTTTACTTCTTTATTTCTTTTTCCTCATCTTGCAGGATTTCTTTCATTGCCGTTCACATTTGTAGATTTCCCTTTACAACATTGTACGTACTACATTCTAACAATATATGCTTCACTGTTCTGGTTACTTGGCAATGTGTGCATGTTGAGGCTTTTAATCCTCGCAATAGGTTTCCACGAGCAAACTCGCAAAGCCCGATTTTTAGGCG